AGCACCATCGGTTACAAGCTGTGTGACTATGGAGAAGTTATATATCCTTAGAACTTTGCTTTTCTAACCCGTAAAATGGGGAAAATGAAACCTTCTCTAGATAGTTGTAAGGAGTAAATGAGATGATGTATATTTTTTAAATGCCTGTTCTAGTACTTAGCACATGGCAGAATCTCAAACTGTACTTCTTAGTAAATGAAACATTTCCAAATTTAAGTACCATTTCTTTCCTTGTTGTTAGTTTCACAGCTTCCTAGGAGAACTCTGTACTTACCCAACACTTGGTAGCCCTGACTTTCAGATTCTGAACCAGATACTGTAGAGTTTGTAAATAAACTATGAGGAGAAATGCCTTAATTCTTAATTGCATTAGGAGACAGTTTTGTTTCTAACTTTACAGAGAGTTAATCTTGAGCTTTATTAAAAAGGAACCATTGTAAGGAAAACTCCAGCTACTTGTATTTCTGGAGTGTTACCCTGAATGAATGAATGAATGAATGAATGATGTGCTAGTTGGAAATAAAAAAAGCAACTAATGAAACCCTTGAGAAAATTTCTCACAAGAGGTTGTTCTTTTTCTGAAATATTTCCATCTTATTTCTCAGTGATGATGTGGATAGTAACAATTTATGATCTCATTTTGGAACAGTATATTAATAGAAAAAACAAATATACAAAAGGTCAGCAGTCTGCATATTCTGGGAACATTCTTTTAGGAATTCTGATTTGTAGTGTAATGCTTTTATTTTAGGGAAATAAATTACTTGAGTTCCCTTTATCCAAGAGCAGTGCCTAACCAATGATATTTAATGACTAAGTGAGATTCCTGGCCATCGTACTGAAATTGAGTAAAGTGCTAAGGAGGTGAAGGAAACAAATCTGAGCATCATTTTTAATGATGCAGTTTATATTTAAAAAGACATTTCTGAGGAATCACAGTTTTTTAAAATCAGCTTTCAGATGTAATTTACAGACCATAAAATTGCACAGATTTTAAGTGTCCAATTTGATGAGTTTTGATACAAGCAAACATTTGTATAACTACTACCCTAATAAAACAAATAGAAATTTTCTATCACCTAGATAAGTTTCCTTTGTGCCCCTTTGTAGTCAGTCCTCCCAAAGATAGCCAGTGATCTAATTTCTGTCACCAGAGCCTGCTCTAGAGCTTCGTATAAATAAAATCATACAGCGTATACGCTTTAGTGCCTGGCATCTTTTGCTCAGCATGTTTTTGAAGTTTCTGTTCATTGTCGTATCAGTAGTTCATTCATTGTCTTTATGGAATAGCATTCCATTGTTGAATATACCACAGTTTACCAGTTTATCATTTAGCCTGTTGATAGAATTTTGGTTTGTTTCCAACCTTTGGCTATTAAAAATAAATCTTCTATGAACAAACTTTTGTACAAGTATATTTGTCAATATATGTTTTCACTTCTCTTGAGAGAAATAATTGGGCCATGTGTTAAATTTATGTTTAACTTCAAAAGAAACTGCCAAAGTATTTCCAAGTGATTATACCATTTTATACTCCCACCAGAAATTTGAGTTCCAGTTACTCCACATCTTTACCAGCACTTGGTATGGACAGTCTTAAATTTTAGCCATTCTAGTGGGCGTGTAATGGTATTTCATTCATTTTAACTTGTGTTTTCCTGGATAGCTAATGATATTAAGAATGCTTTTGCATGTTTCTTGGCCATTCATTCTTGACCTTTTTTTGTGAAACGTCTGAGATTTTTGCCCATTTTTAAATTGAGTTGTTATCCCTTTTACATTGATCCATAGGAGTTCTTTATATATTCTTGATACAGTCTGTGTTGTCAGATATATTTTCAGCTGGTATGTGGCTTGCCTTTTCATTTTCTTAATGATGTCTTTGGATGAATAGAAGTTTTTAATTTTGATTAAGACCAATTGCTATTTTTTTCTTTTGGTTTGTGATTTTTGTATCCTAAGAAATCTTTGTCTGCCCTAAGTTTGCAAGGGTATTCGCCTATATTTTCTTTTAGAAGATTTTTAAGTTTTTATGTTTAGATTAATGATCCATCTCCAATTTTATTCTATTATGCACTTTGTATTTTTCATTAATTCATTGAACAGGTATTTACTGAGCACCTGATCAGTGCCAGGAACTGTTTTAGGTACTTGGTGCCCATTAGTAAACAAAAATAAGTCTCTTGAGGTGGGCCCTTAGATAGGCCCTGCAGTTGTGAAGCCTACAATCTAGGGGAAGTGACAGACAATAAATTAGTAAATAAGTGAATTATAGAGTATGTTAGAAGGTGAAGGAGCAAGATGAGGTGTGACAACAGAATAGGATATAAGGTAAAGGATAGTAAGAAGGTTTGCAATTTTAAGAAAGGGTGGTAAAATTTGGCTTCATTGAGAATAAGCCATTTAAAGAATGACTTGAAGAAGATGTAGGGATTAGCTGTTCAGCTATCTTGGGGGAGAGTGTTCTAGGTAGAGAAAACAGCCATTGCAAAGGCCTAAAGTCGGAGCATGTCTGGCATGTCCCAGTAATATCCAGAAAGCCAATATAGTATAGGGTGGTAGTGGATAAGGCCACAGAGATAGGGGAGAGCAGATTGTTAGAATCATAAAAGACATTGTTAAGACTATAGTTCTTGGCCATTTTGGTGATTTACTCAATTTTCCTGGATCTCCCACCTGTCCACGTTATTAAACTTTGTTTGATTTTCTTCTGTTAAAAAAAAAGACTGTAGTTCTTTGTGTGAGTGAGTGGGTTCGCTATACTTAATACCTATCTAAAACAGCACATAAGTCTTCCTGAATATCACTAGAGATCCCATATTGTTGCTTCTTTAGCTTTATCATTTCACATCTGCTCAGTTAAAAGAATGAAAGCATTTTTTAAAAATACCTGACATATACTTAATATTACAATGTTTTTTTTTTATTTCAGAAAGATCCAGATTACCTGAGGCTGTGGTTGGACAATTTTGTTTCTAGCTATGAACAATTCTTAGATGTTGACTTTGAAAAGCTGCCTACCAGGTATGTAGAAACAATTTCCTATCCTTGGGTGACTTTGTTGATTTTTGTCACAAAAACTTAACTTGGTGTCCTAGTACAAGGATGGCAATTATATGACACATGTGATACTCCTGCATAACCCTGCTTTCATGGCAGACATTGCTGATTTATCAGAGCTGTCTTACCTGGCTTTTAGAAGCCTCTTCTTTACTTTAGTAAGGCACTGGCAACGGGGTGTCCTGCAGTTCCCTTCAATTCTGACACTACCCAGAGTTAGTGCCAGATCCCACAAGTTAACAGCAAAGTCCTCCACAGGATTCCCCTTGCAAGTCTTGGGAGCCACCCACACTTCTGACCAACCAGCTGCTAATTTGTGGGTTCTCATGACTTCCTCTGGTTCAGTAATTTGCTAGAATGACTCCCAGAGCTTAGTAAATGTCCTTATGATTACAGAATTATTATAAAGTATACATGTAGGACAGGGCCTGGGAAGGTCTTGGATGCAGGGCTTCCATGCTCTCTCCCTATTGAGTCAGGGCATTTTGCTTTCCCTAAACATCAGTGTGTTCAGAGAAGGAAGCTCTTTGAGCTTTGGGTGTCCAGAGTTTTGTTGGGTCTTATTACATCACTGACTGTGTGATTGAACTCAGTCTCCAGCTCCTCTCCCATCTCAGAAAGTTGGGGGAGGTGACTCTTTCAGATGTGGCCAGCCCCTTTATTGAAACTATCCAGGAGTCCATCATGAATTACTTCATTCATTTGCATAAAATTTCTTTATTATGACAGGCATTCTAGTTGAAACTTACTTCTTTTCCTGGCTTTAGAAGAGGGCCTTAGAAAACATCTTGAAGGAGGTGAAGTTTTTTAAAACTAGATTTGAAAATCATAAAATGAGGGAAAAATTAAAAGCTTATGGAAATGTGTAAGTGGAAGTACAAATATTTTCTCCTGTACCTCTGTCTACCATTTCCCCAGTCTCACAGTTCCCAGGCCCACTTCCCAGATAAAGTTCTTACTGTGTCTCAGGTTATCTTGTGGACCTACTAGTTGTTAGTTAAGTAGGAGATTATTTTGGCTGTGGTGAAAAACTGGGGAAATGAGACACTTTTAGCCACAAAAGGAACTCCAGTCATAGAGATGTGTTGAGAGGGGAGGGGAGAAATGGGTAGTGTTGATGATGAAAAAGAGTATCTGGAGAATTAAAAATCTTCATGCAGGAAAATGTTTGCAGTTTGAGGGTGGAGGTAGTCAGGATGAGGGTGGACACAGAAGAGTTGAATCTGGACAGTCAAATGGGAGCCAGATCATGAGGTACCATGACTGTATTGCTAATGGACTTTGATTTTTTGTTTGGAAGATACAGGCTCTGCTAAAGAATTTTCTGTGTAAGAGTATCAAGATCCGGCTTGTTGTTTAAGAGATGCTTTGGTAGCGTTATGGAGGTTGAATTGGAAAGGGTTGAGACTGAAGGTGAGAAGCCCAATTAAGAGATAATTGTAATAATTCAGAGAAAAAAAATCATTATAGCTTTGGACCAAGTCATTGAACTTAAGAAAGTATGTAGTTATGCTCAGAAAGCACAAGTAACTTCATTATTTAGAAATACAGTTTCAGAATTCTTCCCCTTTAGATTATTTGTAGCAGGTTTATGAAGGTTGAAAATCAATATTAAATCTTGAACTCAAAGTAATATTACGTATCACTGATTTCTACTCATAAAAGTGTATTCTTGTAGTTTGTGCTTAGAAGTGCTTTTATTTCAAAAATTTACAGCTCACTTTAAGTCGTAAGCCTGAGGATCTTACGGAGTCAGGATTTTGGCCTTTGGATGCTTGGCATTTTGTAAGGTGCACTTGTTATCATCCATACATTAGAATGTCTCCTTTCTTGGGAGGTCATTTCTAAAAACATTATGGAGACTTAAATTGCTGCTACATTTAAAGTAAGATGAAGAATGCCAAGAGCGTTTTTTAATTCATGATTTAGTTGGTTTATTTAAAATTATATTTTATATCTTTGTCCAAAAACTGAACCATGATTTAGATTTTGCTAGTAGAAAACTTTCAGTTTTTCAAGTGAATGTTATGTGCAAGGCATATAAAACTAGCCTAGTCACCTTAAAGACAGGAAGTTCACAGATAATCTCATTTAGAATTTCCAAGTTAAAGAATTCATAACACAAGGCAAGGATTGCTTTTACTAGATTATAAAGCCTTAAAACTTAGGACTTTTTCCTATGTTAGAGGACAGTTGATAGCTGTTTACAATACACATTGAGTAGCCAAATGGAGGAGTGGGAAAGATTTCTGGAGTTTGGGACATTTCAAAGAAATTTCAAAAGAAGCTTAGAATTTTGGGCAGTAAAGTCCTAGAGGTGGGAAAATTATTCTAGATTCTTAAATCCTCATCACATTAGGAACATGGCCCAAAATTCCAGCTTTATTTATAAAACTATGTTCTAATTAAACCCCAATTTTATAATAAGTCACTTTAAAAATATTGCTCTTTTAGAAACTAATTTATTTTCCATCTAGTGAAATAAAAAACATGTGCAAATAGAAAATGGGACAACAGGAACTATTCCTTTAAGTAGCTAGAATGGAATATTAGGAAATCTAATATTTTCTTTCTTGTTGACTTACATTTTTGGAAAAGTAAGGAGGAATAATCTTGAAAATCAGTTATATTTAAATATTTGGTTATCTTGAAGTTTCTCTGGTTTTTCTAATCACCTCTTTTTAGCTTTTCAGAAAAAAAAAACTAAATATAAAAATGAGTGTTTCTGATGCCATCTATAAATAAGAGAGAATGAATGAAAGAATCCAAAGCTGCAAGTGAAATGACGCCCAGACTAAAATGAAACATGTATTTTTTGTAACATGGTTATGGAATTTGGCAGCTTTAGTGATGTGCTTTGTGATTTGTTTTTATTTTATAAAATACTTTATTATAAAAATTATAATATTTATGTGGTAGGTTCGTTCAGAAAGAGGCTAATAATTTTTATCATATGTATTTATGTGTGTACTGGTAACATGCTTCAGATTTTTCTGTTCACAGTGAATGAAATAGCCTTTTACTCAATGTAAAATTAGTACTAATACTTTAAGTATTATCTGAAGAAGAGGCTATTATAAAGTATAATTGTCATTTAATCATAGACACTCTTTACAGTGCTTCATTGTAATTTGGGTATTTTTTTAAATAGAGACAGGGAGATTTTAGTGTACAGTGGCTTATGAAAGGATTCTTAGGCTTTAGAGATAGTATATTTAAAATGCATTACATTTTTAGAGTTCTTTACATATGTCAAAGCTGAAAATGCACATTGACTTTCTGGTTTCAGAGCCCAGTGAAATAGAGCAGATAATATTACAATTTTATGGATTAGAGGACTTCAGAGATTAAGTGAGGTGCTTCATTTACAGAGATTGAATTTAGTATGCAGGCTTCTGACTTTGAATCTAGGGGATTTTAGTGTGAGAGGCACACGTGAAGAGCCAGTTACATCTGGTATTGGCTTTTGCCCTTAAGGAATCATATAGTCTTCTTACACTGAAACCAGTTGTCACAAAATATTGATATATTACTTAGAGTCTTTTATTGATGCTCATGCTTGGGGTTCTACATTCACTTCTTTATCTTTCTCCTTTCCTTCTGCTAGTTATCTTCTCTCCCTCTTCTGATCAGATGACTCAGGGAGCCTGTAGGTAGGTAAATATTATTTATTTAGGAAAGCAGTTGACAGATATTAAACTAGTTATAGGTACTTCATTTTTATTTGCTAGTTACTATTCCTTTTAGAAGTTGTATACACACATATTGTACTTCTAAGTAGTAGATGGTGAACTAATTTATATTTTAAAATATTTTCTTTAAAAGTAGCACAATTGAAAATACTAAATACTTTTTTCCTCCCTCTTTCAGTAAGCCTCATCTGAAGTAAGACTAACCATTCTGCTCTAATAATCTTCTAAAATGTCACTAATCATCTGGCGGTACCTTGCAGAGAAGAAGGCACAGAATATCTGGACTAAAAGAGCTTCCTTAGGATATGAGCTGAGAATGCGATTCATTTAAAGTGCTAAAGATTTTCTTCTTTTATTTCAACATTCCTTATTTTGTTCCCCTTATATCGTAGGGTAGATGATGTGCCTCCAGAAATATCTCTGCTTCCTGATAATATTCTGCAGGTTCTGAGGACCCAGCTTCTACAGTGTGTTCAGAAAACGGCAGATGGGTTAGAGGAAGAACAACAAACCTTGTCAATTTTGCTGGTCAAGTTCTTCATTATTCTTTGCAGGTATCTGGTACAAATAAACCAGTCATTTCAAATCTGCCCTTGAATTCCTCTAGCTAATTTTTCATTATTGTGATTATATTTTTCAGCTCCTGAATTTCTTTCTAGTTTCTTTTTAGTTTTTTAAATCTCCTTATTGATATTTCTATTTTATTTACACATTAATTTCTTCACTTTCTCCACATCTTTGTTTAGTACTTTGAGCATTTTGAAAACAGTTATTTTGAAGTCTTTGTCTAGTAGATCCCTTTCATGGAGCTTCTGTTGATTTCTTGTTTTCTTTCGGCTGTGTGACATTTCCCTATTTCATGGCGCTTCTGTTGATTTCTTGTTTTCTTTCGACTGTGCCACATTTCCCTGTTTCTGATTTTTGTTTTTATTAAATAGTGGACATTTGAATCTAATAATGTGATAACTCTGAAAATCAGATTTACCCCCTTCCCTGGGGCTTGCTGCCTTTGGTTGTTTTTTATTGCTTTTGTTTTTTGATTGTTGGAGAGTGTCTCTGTGCTAAGGACCAACCTGAGTTGTGTAAATATTAGGTCTACTCAGATCTTTTCTGACTCTTTCCCTCAACATGTATGGTCACTCTCTCATTTTCCCCATTTAAGCCATTGTTTTTGAATGTCCTGGTCTTTAGTATCTGGCTCCCAAAAGGGAAAAAAACAAAAGATGAACGGAAGAAGGTGGATGACCCTTTGAGTCTCCTGGAAGTTACTTCATCCAGAAGGAGGTGGCTTGCAATAGTGTGAGGGAGATCCTACTATCTTCTGGCCTGCAGTTTTTGATTAGAAGTCAGCTAATAATTGTATTAAGGATCCCTTATATGTGGTAATTTGCCTGCCTCTTTGATCAGAAGCGTCAGTCAGTGATTAGAGCACAGATCCCCAATATTTGGAGGAGAGGGTCATTTTTGCCCACCTTGGATCCTGTAAGCTGTTAGCAAGCTGCTCCTAGAACATGTGCACAGCTGCTTACCACACGTCTGGAGGTGAGGAATTGGTAGCTGCTACTGTGCTAATAGCTGAAATTGACCAAAATTTAGGACGTCAATCCAATTTACCTCCAGATCTTCCCCTGGAAGTTGCCAGCCTTCAGCAGACTCAGAAGTTCTAGAATAGTCACATCAAACTTTTTCTGACAGTGTAACTGTTTTCTAGTTGGGGCGACAGATTCTTGGTGCTTCCCACTGGGTCATCTTCCCAGAATCCTCCACAGGGGTTTTGAATTTTACCTCTGCCTTTATTCTTTCCTTTCTCAGAGATGTCATGCCAGTCTGACTTCTTCCACTAAGAGGTCTGTTTTTTTGTGAGGGGGAGGCAGGAGGAGGTAATAAGTTTTTAATTTATTTACTTATTTTTAATGGAGGTGCTAGGGATTAAACCCGGGACCTTGTGCATACTAGGCACCCACTCTGCCACTCAGCTTACACCCTCTCTGCCACGAAGCCTGCTAATTCAGTTACTTTTTTCTGTTCTCTTAGCATCTACTGGATTTTAAGATATAAAATATTATTCAAGGTTAAAGGGTCTTAGAACATAATAGAGTTTTTTGTCTTAATAGAATTTGGTTTTTAATCAGCCAAGAAAAAGACTGGTGATGTTAGAGTACATATTAGCACTTTATGTGTCATACTTCAGTCTTACTCAAAATGGAATAAAAAGGAGGGCCATATTTTAATTAAACACCAAGCACTTGTTGTCCCACTGCTTTAAGCAAGGCATGTACTATCCCCTCTTGGAGTATGTATAGATGCCCACCCTTCTATCAAGGCTTTTTAATATAGTTAAGGAGATATATGAGTCTAAATAGGGATGTAATTTCAGAAAGCAAGATGAAAACTATAAAACTATGCAAAATGTGTTATAATGGCAATGATATGTAGAAAAACCAAGCTAAGAATCTGCATAGGAAAATAACAACAAATCTGGAAAGAAATAATCCAAAATGTATATAATGTTTGTATTGTAAGAATACTAGTGACTTTTTCTCTTCTATTTCTACTTTGTGATATTTTCCAGTTTTTCATGACAAATGTTAATTTGCATGTATTTCTTAAACATTCTCTGTTTATAGTAGTTAAATGGTGATTGAAGTGTGTTTTGTATTCTCAGTAAGAAAGCGATTATATAACCACATTGGTTTTAAGTTTTAATAAATGTTATTTATATTTTATTTGCCAACATGTGTTTTCAAAATCAACCTGAACACATGAGGATACATTTTTCTCACTACTCACATGTACTAAATATATGGCTTTTCTTTTTCTCACAGAAATCTATCTAATGTAGAAGAAATTGGGACTTGCTCATACATCAATCATGTCATCACCATGACAACACTCTATATTCAGCAAGTAGGTGTGAATTAATATATTCCTTTTTGTTGCTTTACTGAAAGTAACCAGTTTTTACTTTTTAAAATATAGTAAAGTTAAATGTTTTCAGAGGAAGTAATAATTGAGAATATCATTGAAGTTATCATTGGGTACTTACATATCTCAGGCATCTTATACATATTATCTAAAAGTAGACAAGTGGTTATTTGTACATTTTGTTATTTTAATTTAAAAGTTGAAGTGTTTTATAAATGGCTTTTTAAAATGGCGCAATTTGACATTTTATGTATTTATTGTTTTTTCATCAAATAGCCCTCTTATTGAAAGCACCTTCTCTTTTGGAAAGATGTTTGGTTATTTATTTGAAACCCTTCTTAGAAAATGTTTAAAATTTGAGAGGTTATATCCAGTCTGTATGATTAAGTGACCCTCTACAAACTCAAATGCAACTTAGGCTTCTTTGAATAAAAATTATTTATTATAAGATGGTGAATGAAACATGTAGTCTTTTAATGATGTAGGTAAGTATGTTATATGGCTTAGTATTTTTAAATACATGTAATTTTATGTTTAAATTCTCAGTTAAAAAGCAAAAAAAAAGAGAAGGAATTGGCAGATCAGACATCGATAGAAGAATTTGTGATCCATGCATTGGCATTTTGTGAAAGTTTATATGACCCATATCGGAATTGGAGGCATAGAATTTCAGGGTATGTCTTATAAATCATAATGTTCCTTTAAAACTTGAATGTTATAATATACACAGTTCTTCAAAGCAGGTCTTACTGTCTATTAAAGCAATTGGTAAGATGTGTCTAGGACTCCTGTCTTTATCTCTGAGATAGAGAACTATGTTGGAGGTAATGAATTAGTGATAAATGCCACTTCTAGATAGCAAATTTACCCTGAGCTTTTATTCTGTAATGCTTTTGAATGCTAATAATCTTGGTAAAATCTCTACGCACAATAGCATCAAGTAGTGTACATATTTTTCAAGAAAATTTTTTTAAAGCATATTTCATGATTTGAAAGTGAATTTTAACAGTACTTCATGTGTTTACTGACTTGTGTCAGTCAGGGTCTAGTCAGGAAAACGGAAATTGGGGTTTAAAAAGAGAGACTGTAATACAAGGAAATTGTTAAATAGATAAGAGAGAGCTCTGAAAGCAAAAGGAGGCACTAATGTAATACAGAGATAGTGACTTCAGGAAGCAGCCACTTCACTGGGCAGTGGGAACAAAGGAGAGAGATTGGAGTTATTAGAAAGTAGAAGTTTGGAGAAGAGGCCCTCAGTGCTTGGTCCAGACTTCTGAGGAAACAGCCCTTAGCCAGTGCTGGTATCACTGAGCAGCCAGGAAGGGGCTGGTTCTGGGATTGCCAAAAGTAAGCTGAAGACAAGAACCAACTGTGAATGCCATAGTTAAAAACTGTTGGCTGGTAAAAAAAAAATACAGAATAAGGAATCAGTCCCCTTTTCAGTCTTCCAGGCTCCATTTAGTGAACCCAACAGTAGGGTAGCTTGAAAAAAAGAAATATAGTTTGCAGAATGCCTGTCCCAGCATCACAGAGCAGGTGGAATATATGATGATAGTTATGGAGTGTAGTGACAATGGCGTAATACCAGGACACAACTCAGAGAAGAGTTTAAAAATTCATGTATCTTTCTTACCTGTGGGCAAAGAATAAGAAGAGTTGTATTATCACCCACAAGCAGATCTCTTTATGTCTCCCAAATCTGCTATACTTTCAGTCTCAAGATATTTTCATTTTCAATTTTAACCTGATGTACTTATAAACAATTCCTACTTCCTGCAACATTTCATTACCAAAATGTTTGAGTTTTATAGGCTTTTCAGGGTTTTTGGGGTAAAGTATATCCTCATTTGAATACCATCATTAGCTGATGGTCAAGAATTGGTAGCTGAGAGAACATGTTTGGAGACTACCATATGTAGACTATATGGTAATACTTTGTATGTTCTATGTAGTGATATTTTATTGAAATAACACATCCTTTAGTTAAAGCAAGAAGTATCAAATAGAAATAATAGGAATAAATACTCCAGTTATTACATACAACAATCTTATCTCTTATTTATATATTTGCTTTCCTTTGTGTGTTGAAAGATGTTGTCTTTAGTCAGGGTTCTACATAAAAACAACTAGTAGGGGTGTGTGTGTGTACGCTTGTGTATGTGTATATGTGTATAGGAGGAGGTTTATTGGAAGCAGTTGCCTCATATGATTATACAGACTGGCCAGTCTAAATCTGCAATATGGACTGAAAGACTTGCAACCCAGGAAAGCCAGTGGTGCAGTTACAGTCTGAAGGCTAGAGAGCCAGTGTTCCAGTTTCGGTCCCAGTTCAAAAGCAGTCAGGCTGGAGACCTGGAACTGATGGTACTGATGAAGTCAGAGGGTAGTCCGCTGGAGAATTCCCTCTTGCTTGGAGAGGCCAGTCTTTTTATTCTACTCAGGCTTTCAATTGATTAGATGAGGCACTATCTGGAGGGCAGTTCCTTTACACAGAGGTCACCAACTTAAATGTTAGTCTCATCCAAAAACACCTTCCAAATTGACACATAAAATTAACCATCACATTGTTCTTATACTTTTCTCGATTGTTTATTAGTGGGAAGGTGCTAATGACCTTCTGAATACTTCCTTTTTTGTTGAACTTTAATATGTCTCTTCTTCCAGTGAGAAAG